CAGCTTTGTGCGACGACGAGCGTACCAAGGCATCGAGAGGTTTCTTTTCGCTTCGGGATATCCCTCCTCGTCCCTTTTTCTCTTTTACGGCGCTTTTCCTCGTCGGCGAAGGGCAGCCAACGACTCGTCGTTTGTAAACCGTCGTGTACCAGCTTCCCTCAATCCTCCGCGCGCGCTCTTTGTCACATCTCGATCTTCCGCATTCTCGGAGTCTTAACCGGACGAGAAACGCGCGTCGAGTTAGTACCTACTTTTTGTTTTCTTTCAAATCGATATTTTTTTTTAAAAGCACCTTTAGGTGTCAAAATCCTTTATCGCGACTTTCGGAACGGGGGCGGAGAAGTATCGCGGCGCGTACTTCTCAAATATTGAAGGTATCGATATCCGATACTTCCGCGGCGACCCGCGCGCCTGGCGCAATTTTCGCGACGTCGGGATTGCAAGCGTCGCGCCGTCGCCGCAATTATTCGCCGTCTGCGCGGCGACGAAATAATTACTTGGACAGTATATAACTATGGAACACCATTATCCGCTCTCCGGTGAAGCGGTCCATGTCACGGATACGAGCGACTGCTACTTGCGCTCCTCTTTCGTCGAACTTTCTGGGAAAATTGAAATAGTTTGGTCGGTCGCTTAACTCTCGACGATATTGCTGTCGATACACTTCCTCGGTTCGTCAAACGTCCTTTTCTCTCCGTTCCCTCCCTTTCCTTCTTGCTCTTTCCCACGTCCTGATATTTCTGAGGGACGAATCACTCGCTCACACAAATTTGAACATGAATAGCGAGCAGAAATACGGGCGCGAGCGTGTTGTAACGTCGAACTGATTACATTTCGCCCGGTATGCTTCGCCGCGAAACTTTAACGGTACTTTGGTTAATCAGGTTATATACTATGGTATCTACTTGTTTTAATTGACCGTGGTTCGTGATACGCAGTTGAAGAGCATATAGTATAGCGCCGCGCGCCACATCCGTGCCAGACTTTGTCGATAGGTTGGATAGTAACTCCAAATTGAAGTTTCGAGAGCACTCGACTAACAGATGATGTGCATTTAACGCTTGAAAAAGCTTCTATCGTAATATCAAAAGTTTGTTTTCTATAATGCGCCGCGAAACGATCATTTAATTTAAGCAACAAATTGCTCATCTTGTACGTATGTATTTATCAACCGTGTCGAACACGAAGGTACGAAAGGGTATTCGTGTCGAAGGGGGCCCGAGAACGAGGCTGTAAACTCACCGTAAATCGCGGCAGGCTGCCGGTCCAATTATCGGGTCGTCGAGAAACGAGAAGCGCATCGGAAAAGGTTTCAACCTCGCGTAATGACCGTATTATCGAAACGGAGCATCGCGCGCATCGAAGAGTTAATTGCTCTCTTCCCGCGATCGCCGGTCAAACCGCCTTCGGTCTCGTCGTTTCTTCTTGTCTCACGTGCCAATATATCACTTACGGACTAGCGTGCGGACTGGTTATGGACTAGTTAGTCGGTGCACTCCTGCCAAGAATGGACTTTCAGGCGCCTCACGCCACTGCCACCGTAGACTCCACGGCGCCCTTTTTTTCCACCCTCTCTCACATGCCTCGCCATCCGTCCGTCTCCGTCGTTCTTCCTTTTTCTTTCTCTCTCTCTCTCTCTCTTTCTCCTTACATTTTTTTTTGCGGTACAAGCGGGACAACACACGCACGCGTATACACGATTGACCGCCACGTGCACCCCATATCATTTTGTCATTCGATTTCTCTCGCGCGACCAGTCGACCACGCTGAGGCTCGCTCGGGTGAAACCCCCTTAGTCTTCGGGGAAGTGCGGCGAGGAGACCTTTTCGGCCTGCGTCACGAGAAGCGCGGTCACGCACCCGTCGTGGATCGATGGGTGCACCGTAAACTCAAGCTAAAAAAAAATTTAATTCCGTAAATGGCACCTTTATGGTAAATCAGTCATTTTATTAAATATTAAAAAATTCTTAAATATATGATGTCATATTTTTTAATTATTTTCTAGAAATATTTAAAAATTTGCATACGTGATCTTAGGAACATGAAATGTTTTACACTTCGGAAAACAATATCATGTGCGCGATGACCAGACGACAACGTTCCGTTCAAGTTATTCTCGACACGTTGTAACGGGAAAGAATAAGGGATAAGTCGGCCGCGAATCAGAAAAACGCCCTTTTGCCGCGGAATCGTTGCGGCAAATTATTAACGTCGCGTGTCGGTATCTACTGGGGTGTACCGGTATCGATTCCGCCGTCCCGCTTTTTCATCGCGTGTGTATGCAACACACGGGGCATCTAGATGCCGTCGCGTTGCTTTAATTTCCATTTGCGTCCCGCCGACATTGTTATTAACCCCAGGCCATATCCTCGATCTTCCCTCGCAGTGGCACGTCGCGACCCTCCCGCGACAAGAAAATAATTGCCATTCGTATCCCTCGTAGCGTTTCTCGCGGTCCTGCGAATCGAATCCGATCGGATTGTCCGAAGCGCGGATGTTCGCTTTGACGCGGCTATATAAAAATAATTCCGTTCGTTGCTCTTGTGAACAAGCACGGAAATTGCGCTGCTCGGGGAGAAAGTTTCCACGTTATCTTATATCTGCATGGATATATATCCGGCGATTCGTTTTGAAATTATTAAATAAAATAAAATTATTGCACCCACGGCTCGATCAATTATCCCACCGGGTATTATCCGTCACAACGTTAGACTACTAGTGCGCGATTGATATCGTTATCGCGATCGTCCGACTTGAGGACGATTAAAGCAAAATTAGTTTAGCTCTTTCGTCATTGTGGTCGCGTGTGTTCATAATCAGCCTCGGTCTCGAGTACGACGGGTACGACCCAGTTTAGTCCGCGCGTTTCGTTTGCATATTTGGTTTGCATACCTCGCCAAGTACAAAGAGTGCGCTTTACTGCCGCGTCACGGATTTAAAACTGCGGTTAACGTTGCGCCACGCTCCACGGAAGCGTGCAGAATCGAAAGGAAAAAGTTAATTCGGGAATTGCTCGGGAAACTGTTAAACAGCTGGACTCCGTACGCGGAGCGTATCTGCACTTTCGAGGATCTAAGGCGAGCGAAATTAAATGATTCTACGTTAGGGAACGCGTGGCGTAAAATTAGCTTTGCAAAATCACGTGCCTTAAAGAAGTCAAATGAAAGACACGACCGTTTCCATTTGCATATAGAAGATATGTTGTTTGTCGAAAAAGACACGCTGCATTACAACACGATGCGGTGATATTGAGACACACGCACTCGCACGTAGCGCGCCGCCTCGTTAGAAATATGCCACGCGCTGGTTTCTGCATTCCTCCTGTAACTGCCTATAATCTTATATTACCGATATTCTCATTGCCAGGTATGTTTCCGTATGCCGCGCATGTAGCCGCGATTTCTATGCTAAACGCGCGGCACAGCCGACAAATGGTAGTCGCGGCAGCCTCGGCGCGTTACATTTACGTTTCGTTTTCTATCCTCGAGGGACGACGATAGAATCTCGCGATCCCGCGCGATGGAATTTCGGGGCGAACGACTCAGACATCGGATATATCGGAGACACGGGCCGCGTGTTAGTTTAATTAACGAAGCTTACAGTCGCGGTGTCGCGAGGATACGTTGCGTGTATTATTATCAGAGAACGGTGAACACACCATTGTGTGGTTAGCCTCTCACTGTTCTTCAATCAAACAGACTGATTATACAATTAATTATTCGCAGTTCAATTGTGTTACATTAAACATTCTGGACTGGTGAGCAGATAAACAGCGATTATCGTGTCAATTTAAATACATAATCTTTATTGATTTTGGCAAAATTTGATTCTCATTTGCTATAGGTACGCAAATAATGTACAATTCTGATATCGAGGGGGTATTTGCGTTTGCCTGATTATGTATTTTAACTTAGATGATGAAAACAAATTTTGTTGGATTTATATTGTAGAAAGTATAAGCGGTTTTTGAGTTTTTAAGGGGTTCCGTAGTCTCTTAATTGATTGCGTCGGATAGACATCAGATGTTAGGCGAGTTTGATCGTGTTAACGAACGAAAATCGATGTATTAGCAATTTAATCGTATCTCGGGAAAGAAATCGAGGGGTTAACGTCGGATTCTTGGTATTCATGCCCGCGGCCATTCGGAAAAGCTAAATCTCTAATTGTGCAACAAATCTTCGGTAGTGCGCATCCTGCACAGGGATACCGATGTAGGAAAGAGTTACCGTAGCTGACGGGGAGAATTAATCGTCGCTTTTGCTTTAGAGCAGTCTCCCGTTGGCAATGGAAAGTGAAAATAATTAAATTCTAATCCCGCCGAGTTTATCATTCCAGAGATATTTCCGACGTCGTTTATCGATGATTAACCGTGGCACCTGCCGTTTGCTTCGTTAAACCAGCTGTGCATTTTCCTTTCACTAAGTCGGACGCGCAGACTTGAAGCTGTTAATATTCTACATCATTTGTGATTAATAATGCTTATGTTAATGAAAATGTCACTTTTTGAGGCATCGACTCGTTTTCACGAGACGCATTGTAGACATTGTACACATAAATCCGTATACGTTAGCAGGCATTATGGAACTGGATGAACTGTTGGTGTGCGCGCGGTATCGTAATTCATCGTCCGTTAAATCGCCTCGTTCGCCTTAATGACTCTAACAGCGTGGGAAAGCCATTCTAACCGAGGCGACGCGCGTACATTCGCCGTCTTTTATTGCATTTATCCGGCATTTCCGTCGAGGAAGCCACGCGACCGGTGGCGTATGTTAATCCATCGCGAATTTATGCGCCATAATTTCGGCGCAAGCGTGCGCGCGCGCCGTGCTTTGCGCCCACGCTGGATGACGTTGTACGAAATTGTAATAAAAGCCGCGAGTCCGATTACGACCGCGTAAACCTATATTCATTATTTACGTTCATGAGACGAGCTTCGCGATGCGATGCGACGGAGGAGACGAATATCTTCTGAAGAAGGATCCTTCATCTGTCTGTTTTAGGAATAATGAAGAGAGAAGCCGAGGCTGGCGCTATGACAGGTTCCGGGGGCCCGACGAGCCCTCACAAGCGCTATCGACAGGGTGACGATGAGCTCCGTCTTCTCATCCCGAGTAAGGTGAGTGTCGTTGATCGATACATCGCGATATCGCGAAACTATCATCCAAAACCCTATATTCGCTATAATTCGCGTCAGATTTTAGGGTAGAATTTTATTTGTAATTCTATTTTGACACGTATGTGCTTTAATATACATTTTACGTACGTACTCGTGTGTTCTAATTCTTCAAATGTTTTTCGTATTACACAGCGCGCAAAATTATAAAGTTTCCGTCCTGAATTCTAACGAGAATTATGTAAATCATCTTAAGTGCATGGGCTTTAAACTTAAAGCCACAGAACTATGTCGAAATCAGGAGTTCTACCGCCTGTTTTTGCAGACGACATTGTTTCCCCTAACTTCTGGCTAACGTTCACGTCTCTCGTGTGACATGGAAGCGTTTGTATACCGTTCCCCGAGCCGTCGACGATCGGAAATGTCGACGGTTGGCAACGCCTCCTCCGTCTTTTCGACGGCGCGCGTAGTGTGGCGTTCCAATGCACAATGTGAACAGGTCGGACGCACTTCCCACGTGCTTCGCCACTGGGTCACTGTATTTTCTAGTCACGCGTGCCCGGTCTGGCTCTTTTCGCCGTTGTATTCGTGCGCGAATGGGAGTGCAGCGGTAAAACGGCTCCCATACAGCGCAGCAACACGGTACCACCTTCCGACACGTTCGTTTTCATCGCGGGGCTCTTCCGGTCATTGTCGCCACGCTCGGCGGACCGTTATCGGTTTCTCTCGGCTGCTTTCTTTTCCCCGCGGGAAATCCCCGCGAATCTGTAAACGTCGAGACCGTCGGGAGTTTTGACCGATGAAAATGCCTTCGTGTCTGTACAGTCCAGGGGCACTCGGGGGGTGCTGCCTCTCTCGGTATCGCGGTCGTCTTTAGTGCCGTAGGTTCTCCGTCTCTATCGCCGATATATCGTCAGACCGGATGTTTCTCGACTGGGCGGATATTTTCTTGCGCCACCATTTCCTCTGTGGCGGCTGCAGTCTTTAACTGTACGTATGTTTTATGCGTACAATCGAAGATACCGGCCGCCGCCGCCTGCTTTCGAGGGCATCGGGAGAGAAGTAATATCGTGAATCGAGGTCTATCTGTACCTCCTTTCGCTCGATAGTGATTGATTGTAGCATTGAGAATATCGAAGGGAGCAGTAAAACACTGGTTTTCTTACGTTTCTTCCTTTGTTCGACGTATTTTCGAAGGAGGATGCCGATGATTCTATCGCGTAACATGCTGCAAGCCGATCAATGAGAAACGATATTTTTTTTGTATTTTATGTTTTTTCCGTGATTTCCTTCGATATGACACATCGATATTTTTGGGGCTTGACTCGCAGCAACGATCCAATTTCGCGAGTTCCGCTTCGCGACACGAGACCATCCAATTATCGAAATAATTCCGACTCGATGTTGTCCTTAGCATAATCCCGTAAACTGTTTACGCCTCGCGCACGCTAATAAGCTTGATTGAATGACCGATTGTCACGAGGGAACGCAGATAAGCGCCCCGTCATCGTTCGCCGGCACGCGAGTGCCCGAAAAAACCTAACGTCGCGTGAAATGATATCCGGCGCGCGTGCGCGAGAGGAAGTTAAGCTCGCCTGCGTTTCCTTTAATTACCGCTGGTCATCTCTGATGAATGGGGGCGGAGGAAAATTCGCGAATTCGACGCTCGTTCGTCAGGGTGTTACCCGCGACTTTCGAGAGACTCGACCTTCCGCGGCACGCAACATTATCGCGCGAACGGCCCTGGAACGGCAATCGCGCCTGTTAATTTCGTAATGGACAACAAGAGCGATGTGTGTGCTATGCTGAGGTGGTGTGCCCTGATGCGTGCGATTTAATCGGCGTCGCGAGGGCGCCTTACCGCGATCCAGCCGGCCGAGCACGAACGAGCGTTCGTCGCGCTTGATCGCGGTCGAATCTCTCGCTACGTAATCGACGATATCATCGTGCGCTGTCATTGGTACGCGGTGTTGTGTCAGGGACGACCGCACCGGGTACGGCATTACCGATAGGTACCGCGGCCTTCGCGAGAAGTCGCGAAATTCGTGACGTTCTTGGAGGAACTTGCTGGATATGTATGAATAAGATGTTTTGGAGGGTCCACCGATCTTTCCTTCCGTCCGCGAATTTGTACTTTCCCGAGCGAAGAATGAACGCCGTTGCTCGGATGAAAATGACTGCATTCCTACGTCTCTATGTCATAATATGCCGCGCGCATCGAGGCGCGTCCTTGACGCGCCTTCTCGCGGAGGAGAAAGTGTTAATTGTGCTAGAGCTCATTTAATTAACTGACGAAACGCGGCGGATCTGTCGTTCAAGATAGCGCGCTGACCGTGATAAAACGTGCGGGACGTAACTAATCCGCAAAAATCCGTAGGATCGCATACCGAGTTGCGATTATCTTGCATTCCGCGAGAAACGGGCGTTCGTGCCCTCGCGCGGCATCAGACACGTGCCGGAAGTCTGGGCTGCGGCGAAATTAAGAGTCTAACTAGAAGTGGACGTGAGGTTTTTGTTCTATCGCGGGCATCGGACGGGCCTGGAGAAAGCGAAATGTTGATGCACGAGCCCGGGACTCGGAAGAACGGAATTTCCGTGTTTCAGCCTCTTTCATGCTCCGAGATGGATTATCTCACTCCCAGATTTTTTACTCATTTAAATATTTGCTATTGCCGGTTACGCCTCCGGCGAGAGATACTTGTTTGATTAACGTTACAAAGACTGGGAAGACCACCCAAATATATACCTGCCCCATAATCTATCCTATTAATCTCGGACGTTTAGATACCAAATATTTGTATATGTGTTTAGAAATTTGCGCGCCAATTATCAGCGTCCGTGTTAGCCTAAATAGCCTTGCTCCGCGCGAATCGAAAAACTCCAATTCCACCGATCACCTGTAAAATTTAAAAAGCATAGCAGTTAATTCGGAGAAACAAATAAATTATTCGCATTCGTAAAATAGCAACTTTCTTATTTTTATCACTTACTGTCATCTCTAAATCTCTTTTGATCCGTTATTTCTCTTCGAAACTATCTTTATAACTCATCTTAACAGATCGTCTTAAAGATATTTATTTAGCCTAGTTATTTATTTAAACTAAACTTTATTATTTTTGCAATGTTCACATCAAAAAGACTTTATATATTGCCAGTCAGTCGATTTAAATTATTTAATTACTAAACTTTATCATGTTTGTGTTACAGGTTGCCGGTTCGATAATCGGCAAGGGTGGCCAGAACATCACGAAACTCAGAAGTCAGGTAAGCTTTTGCGCTTCGATTCGTCCGTATTTTCGCTGTAGTTTCATCCCTGTCTTTGTCTATCTACTCGCGAAACTCCTTGCTGCGAACAAGCTAATAAAAGAGATAGTGGAAGACATGGATCGTACAAACAATCGAGCAGAAGATCGTAAAAATAATTTCCGAAACGTGTTTCGAAAACATTTTTATTATACATTACGAAACGATATGTTTTTACGATCTTCTGACTATACGTTTATGTTTAGTTCTAATTATGTGCCGGATTTTCAGTTGATTGAGAGTCATTTTTGTTTCATTTGTCGGTTTTTCCGGCGGCTAGCCGATATTAATCAAAGACTTGCATTTTACTTTTCTTGTGCGCTGTCTATGGACCGATGACGCGAGTGCCCGTAACGTAATTAACCCTTTAGCTCCCTGGAGCCTTTTAACTTCGTTTGAAACTAATATAATTATGGTTTATGTAATTACGGCACGCGGTAAAGGGTTGATACGCGAAGATTCATGTAATTTGTGTAAAGAGCGAGGCATGGGAGCCGCGCGCACAAAAGGCTTTGTCGCGAGAATTTGTTTCGCCAGGCGCTCGTCTCGTTTTCCAAAGACACCCCGTATCCGTACGAGCTTCATTATGCATTTGGTTCCTTGAAAGGCGGGGGCGCTTTCCTCGTTTCTCGTGTATCTCGCGCCGTACGCTTATATCAATGTTTCATGAGACATTTATTACTTGGTTGCGAGGAAGCCTCGGCCGTAGCTAGCTTCGATTTTATTCTCGCGCCATATTTTAAGAGTGACACGCGAAATTTTGTGCACGCTCGCAATGTGATCGATGGCGAAAGAACTCGTCCTTCTTACCGAAATGTCGACGGCTATGCCGACGTGGACGAATCCTCTCGTCTTCGCGCGCGCGATGGTCAATACATCACGCTATTTTCACGTTAACGTCGCGTCAACGTAATGTAACGTTGAACTACGCATTGAAAATCTTTCAGTCATACTTTAACCAGCGACCGGGAAATTCGTTGTTTTGCTTGAACCAAATGAGTATATGAACGTGCAGTACATCTCAGCATTTTGTGAATTAGAGTGATTTTGTCAGTGTTAACACAATTGTGACTCACAATCAATTCACAGCCAATTAGCTTACAGTAGCCTCTGATGAAATAACGATGACGATGAATTATCGCAATTCCATTGTTGCAAAATCGGCAGATACTAGTAGATATTTGTAAAACTATTGAATTTTGTTGTGAAATGGGAAATATTTTTCGGAAAGATGTCTGCCAATTTTGCCGTATACGTCATTTCAATTCATCATAAGCGTAACATTGACGATCCGCGATGTTATATTGAATAAAACAAGCTCCGCTGAAATAGCTGAAGGGGAGCGCCGTAACCGTATCCTTCGTGTAACTCGTAGCTGCTAATAAATCGCGCGGTTTTACGTTTACACCATTACATTACTCGCATTAACCATCTCTTCGAGTTACGGTAGGGGTTTCAGCGCAATTTCAGCCGTCGTATCGAGCTGCGATGTTGAAGTGCACTCTTGGGGGAGGGACACACGGTATCGCGTTAATCGTGTGAATGTCGCGCTTTAATCGTGCGATTGTAATGCCGTGGCAAATCATTCGGAGATCTCCGTCACGGATTTTGATACGCCGGGCGGGCGAAGCACGTCCGGTCCGTCGAGAACGTTTCGTGCACACGCACGTCCTTCGTTCGGGTGCACTGGCACACGAATGCGTTCTTCTCTCGATGAGCCACGCCGCGATTTTCGTAATTCTTCTGGCGTAAATGAGAGAGAGAGAGAGCACGAAGTCACAGTACTGTTAGAATAGCGAGATTCCGAAAATTGGATACAGCACTTTGGGAAGCGGTAATTAACGAGGAGCTGTCTTACAATTAGATGAAATTATCGTGAAACGATTCGAGGAAATTCTGTCATTAAACGCGCGAGATACCTTTAAATTTATAGATCTTGATTATAATGAACTCGATTCATCATTCGTATTATTAGTCAACTCTTGTTTTTAATCAATGCAAGCTACACCGGACGGAGCAAATGGAGCGGTACGATTATCGGATATAATAACGGATATTCAATTAGTCTGATAGCTTGAAAGGATCATTTAATACGACGGAGATATCGGAAGCTCTAGTCTCAAGTTCACTTTGCCTGGTAAATGGCACAATGCTCTCTGGTCGTTATTTCCGAAGAGTGCTGTATCCGAGGGAATCACTGGAGAGGATCTCTTAGCGATTCACTTTTAGTTCGCGCTGCCTTCCCGGCAACTTTCTACGGGACCCTCCTTGCACGAAATCCCCTGCCGCTTTGCGGAGTTTCAACGTTCGAGCGCGGACGCTACGCAAACTTCCATGGGCGACAGAAAGGTTGACGTTAAAGGGTTACCTCGGTCGCGTGTAGAAAAATATTGGAGAATCGCGCGCAAGGGAATAACTTTACTCGTGCAACATGTTGGACGGATGAATTGCCGCGTGTATCAAAAGATTATAATGGTTACAAATTTCTTGAGCGGATGTTCGGTAAACGTAACTTATTGCGTCCGTGGTGATTTTTCTGTCTGCACACATCGGCGAACGGAACGGCAAAGTTATTTCTATTCGCGGCGAACTCGCGGAACTATCGCAGTGTCTATCGCGACGTCCACGCTTCGTCGCGGAAGTTTCAGGCTCGCGTCGATAAAACTTTCCGTACGGTTATCAGTTACGTGTCGGGCTCACCCGCAAGTTACACGGGATAGTTAATGGACCTCTTCGTTCAAAAATTAAAAACTTGCTTGATTAACGGCGTTTAGCGCACTTTGTTAGCAATTGAAATTGAAATATTCTTCGGACCGCTGTAGAGCGACGTCAATTAAGTGCCGCGTCGGGAAAATTATTCGAGTACGCCTTCAGAATTCCTAATGACTTCAATGGCGAGGAAGAGAGAAGGAGAGGACGACGATACCGGCCGCGCGGTCTTTGCCTGGATGATACAAGTACGTCTTGTTGATTAAGCACTTCCTTGAAGAGAGAAGCCGCGGTATCTCGTCCGTAACTTCGCGAGTTTTCGCCAATCGTATTACGATTTACGTGAAAGAATCAGCGGACTTTCTCATCGTACTTATAAAGTTTAAATCGGATACTCCGTAGGCTTATCGAATGTAAAAAAGAAACGCGCTATTCTTATATAAGAATGCGAGGTGTCCGTTCTCACGCGATTCTCGTTGTTCGACCTCATTTTTCCATGCCAATATTTTTCTCGCCCCCCTCGCAGCCGATCCGATGACGCAAAAGAGGGAGAGAGGGAGGGATTAGGTAGGTGGGACAAAATAGGGGAAGGGAGGGGTGTTTTGTGGACGTAGAGAGCGGAGCGTGGGTGGAAAAATCGGGTTAGGAGGTTAAGCCGCGAATTAATCCAGCCGTCAGACGTGATGTCTAACTTGGTTGATGGTTTGTGCCCTGGCCCCGCCCCAACCCCGGCGTTGCCCCCCTGGCGTTGCCCTGCCGTTGCCCTGCCGTTGCCCTGCCCGGAACGACGGACCCCGACTCGATCGGCAAATGGACCACCACGACCCTACCAACAATCGACAACAACCACCAACCAACCACCAATGAACCAACCACCAACCACCACGGCCCAATCGACAGTACAAAGCCTCAATCATTGTACCCGATTGCCCCGGACCCGAACGGTAATGACCAACACCAACTACTTAATGTTCTTATTTTTCTTTGTCTCTAATTACGAGGTACCTATTAAGACGCCTGCAGCGAGAGCAGCGAATCTTTTTTCTGTATACTCTATATACACCACTACTATTTCCACCTTTCGTAATCTATTTTCGTGCTACTACTACTACTACTATTACTACTATTACTACTACTCTTTTTTTTCTTCTTCTGCCTATCTATCTAATTATCTGTTTATCTGTCTAGAAATCTGTCTTTCTGTCTGTCCGTCCACCTGTCTATTTCTGTTAATCTGTCTGTTTTTCCGTGATATCATCTTTTTATTTTATCGGCATATTATGTGTTAACACGGCGACCATTTATCCAACACTTACATCGTCTACTACTTTCGTGTTTCATTTCGTTTTTTTTCCCCTCGTTTCTCATGAACACGTCTCTCTTATGCGTGTCCTCTTGACTGTATCGTCGCATGAGATGTATTGAAAGAGATATTTCAGAAAATACGTTTTACTATACAGTAGTCGTTTTCAATTTTAATGTCGTAAAATCTTTTTTTTTAATTATTGTTTTTTTTTTTTTCAAGGATCGCGAATGGTATCGATACCGCGACAAGTCGATATCTTATTAGATTTAAGCATTCTCAACAGTTCCTTGCGCGGCTTCGGCTTTGGGTGAGAAATCGGTGGTCTTACAAGCGAAAGCCGACGCAGCACGTGTCGCACTTGTTGTTGGCACGCGGTCGCGCGAATCGTTCCCGATGAATCTGTCGCGCCTCTCGCGAGACCGCTTATGAAAATCAGACCGATTTAATTCAATCTGGTTTAATCTCGCAATGGGGAAAAAAGAAAAATTATTTTACCATTAAATTCACCATTGCAAATTTTACAGAAATATGTGACGCGAGGACACGTAGAAGAATACATTTCACAGATTCTGTTTTTCTTAATTTTTAGATAAGCGTGTAACACCCGCGCGCGCGCGCGCTACGGATTTGTGTATGACCAGCGTGCTCCGAGGATTTCGCTGATCTTCTAAGCGCACATACGGACTTTCACTCATTTCTTTTTCTCTTTCACACCCTCTCTTTCTCGTTTAATTTGTTATTTGTTGGTTTCTCCTGCGTAAGCGCCACGCAACAAAACGTGTGCGATATCACTCGACACCCACACACGTTTATACACACACGTACGATGTCGGGATATGTTCTAAACGGTGTCTGTAATATGTGGCTAACACACGGAAGCTAAAATGTGGTATGTGACGCACGCGGCCGTAAGGCCGGCTCAGTGTTAAAGGTTACGACTTAAGGTGTTGTTATCGCGTTGAAAAGTCAATTGTAACGTCAAGTAATGCTCTCGAATGAGAAATATCGTGAAACGTTTTTTATTTTAACCGAGATCGAAGACTTAAAGCGAGAGTTAAATTTCGGATAGTCGTAATGACGAAATCACGAGCGTCATTCTATATATTCGCGCAGTTTACAAACCAACACTCTTTCAACGCGACAAAATACCTTCACTCTTTAGATATTCCGCCCCGATAAGTGGTTGTCCCGCTACAAGTACTCCGACGTGATTAATTAACTTGCCAAGTCGAAAGTCATTACCGATATTTCGCACTGTGGATCAGTGCCGCGCGCGAATCCCGTCAGAGATATTTTAATGATAACTTTAGACCGGTTATTATACTCGATCACATCTACTTCATTACGGTCGATTGATGATTACATTAGATATATGTCACGCCTCGATCCGCACACTCGGTGTCGTTTTCTTCTAAGAAATTATGTCGCCCGCGCACGAGCGCAGGTATTAACGGAAAATTTATCTTCGTCCTGGGACGGCAATAAATTTTTTTATCGCCGACGGTGAAGCTTCTCGAGAATGCTCCCTTAATGCGATTTTCATTCGCGGTTGTACCGATACGGCCGGGAATTTCGCCGGTACGTAATAAAGTACTGCAAAGTCGAGAACGATCCCACCGAACAATCTGCACGATTATGATCGGCGCGATCTATTCTCCATACAATGCAGATGGAAATAAATCTTTGAGAAAGTTTCAGAAGTCTCAATATTATATTAACGATTCGTTTAAAAGCTCCTTTTAAAAGATATCATTTTGTTCGCGAAGATTTTCATTCTCTGTGCAATTGACATTGTTACTAGATTGCTCTCGACAAGGCGATACACGTGTAGAAGTCTTTGCTCTATACGCTTCCCTCGGAACCGCGGCCCTCATAAAACATTCAGCCATCAAACCTTAGAATCGTTCGAACGCTCTTCAACGTTTTATGCACCATGGAGATCTTTAACTGCCGATAGTATTCTTTTTCTCTATCCATCCTTGTCGCGGAGCAGCGTCAAACGCCATAATCTAAACCTCGCCGTTCGCGAATCTCAGTATATACGCACGTCCCCTGCGATTCTCGAAGGGATGACTTTCGACCAGCCAACCCCGTAGCTGTAACGTGCCATCCGTGCAATCCGTGCCATAACGCCGTGATCCATCGTTACAGAGCTTGTCTAAAAAGTATCAAGCTCTGTAACGTTGGATCACGGCGTGATCCGCATCGATCAACTTGCGTGAAGTACGTATCTCAATCTCGACTTACCCGGGATTACTGTTCTTCACCGACTGATGTTGATCAGTTTAACCGTCCTGTTGTTGTCCTTAAAATGGGTTAAAACTAGGAAAACTCGTAACGGGTGATGGCAGCTTTCGTCAATCGAGAACGTCGCCGACTAGGAGATTCCTAGGAGCGCATATATAGCGAATAAATAACAAATTAACACGTAACAAACATTTTGCATTTTTAAATATACAGGATTGCGGAAACTAAGCTAGTCAAAGTCGCAATATTCCCGCAATCGCGCTGCGCGGAGAGATTATTTTTTCAAAAAGAGCGCGAATAACCGCGGATTACATCGCCAACTGGATGCTTTTCTCGCGGGACCGACCGGTAGAAAAGCGCGTGCGGAATTCGATATGTATATCTAGTCGAATGGAAGATACGTGGCTTCAGCTCGTTATAGCGGGGAAGTAGAACGGAAGTGGACGACGAGAAGGAAGGGGAAAGGGTGAAAAGACGAAGGGAGAGACCGACCTCTTCGTGTATTCCCTCGTATTAGCGGGAGGAGAATGGGGGGTGGATTCGTGCCGTCGTTCCGAAAAGTTTTGTGTTTGTTCTCGATCGTGGGAGATGATAGCGGGAACTCTCGGTGCGCTTCTTAAGACCGTAGGGAAAGGGATACCCGAATACCATCGTCCTCCTTTTCAAAACTCTGAACGTATTAAATTTACCAATAGAGAAGGGGAGAAAAACAAGTAAACCGTCAATCAATTCTGAATCTTTCAATTATCGTAACTCGAAAGAAACGAATTACCTATTTAGCGGCAGAGCAGCGGCACACTTCGGGACTCTCGGGGTCGCTGAAAACAAATTACACACTTTATACGGGGATGACGTTAAGAGAATGGAGACGATGTTCGGGTTTTTCCCGTTCCTATCATATATATCTCGCTGTTCTCCCGTTCCGCCGAGCGGCGACGATTCCGCCGGAAAGGAAGCGGATCGATATTGATTACTATCGGCGGAATTGAACCGCGTGCGTATTACCGGGGGGGGTGTTTTCCGCGACGCGTAATTCGTCCCGGTGGGGGACGGACGTAAAACGCGATCGTTCCGATCGCGCGGTACGATTGCGGCTGAATAGATGTAGGTCGGGAAAATACAGCGAGGCTGAATCTAGTCCGAGCTTACGGTCGATCGTCGTGGCCGCGATTGCACGCGATCCTATACGCGATTCTCGCAAGCTGCGGTTGTTGACTCTGCTATGTGGCGGAACTGCTGGAATACACGTCGCACTCGGATTCACTGTGTAACGCAATAAATCTAAATCCCTCAACGCTGCCTTAGTAACGCTCGTAATTTTTGTGAAACGTTGCGAGATGCCCCGGATTTATCACGTGGTTAAAGATTTACGGCTTCGACAGAGATTCGTTAATCCGCGGAAAATCTACTGTACGTTGCAGTTGACAAAGAATCGTGTTAACTCCGTGCGTCCGCATTGAAAATTGATCTTGTAGCGCAAACGGCGTTAATCGCGTGCACGGCGACAAATATCGAACGCGACACACGGTTGCCGTTAAATTTGTATCGCCTTTTAATGCACAATGCGTTGTCATCGCGATCGCGCGCGACATTTTGTACATTGGGTGTCGGTGTCGACTTTTGTTAACTCTATCAGGCTCGAGTCCAACATCGAGGTACAGATGTTCGGGATATACAACGAACATTCGTAACATCGTTGAGACTAAATGCGATGCACTATATATACATCCAGCTCGGATCGACCCGTGTGCGCATTTAATTACTTTCTACTCCATCGGGGGCGTGTTGGAATTTCATCGACGCCTCACTTCGGCTCTAACCCGTTTCGAAGCGCTCTAACGGGTGACGTTGAAATACGCACGGGGAAAAGGGGGATGGGAAGGGGGTGGCATCGCTGGTTGATGTAATCACACGCGAGCGCGTCTCGTACGCACATACGTCATTCGCACGGAGCTGTATGGTCGATATAGCACGTACGCGAAATCACGCAGCGGTACGTAAGGTCAGCATAATTCTGGAGGTCCTTCTGATTCTAGGGTGCTCACCATCAGTTCGGACCTGCCCACTGTTCTGCAAGTGTTGAACGAGGTCGTACCTAATCTGGAAGAGGTAAGTGCTAAACTCCTAATCCTCACCCGCGCCTCTTTCTCGAATCGTTTGTACGCGCTTTCGCGCTCCTCTTAATCCCGCTCGTTTGAGATCGCGACGATCGATTCCATCTGCTCTAGACCGTAGAAGTAGCGTATCTCGAATTTCCACTATTTATTATCGACACGATTTCAGAACGGCTCTCGCCATGGCAGCGACGAGATCGATGTGCGCATGCTGGTGCATCAGAGTCAAGCGGGATGCATCATCGGCAAAGGCGGTCTGAAGATCAAGGAGCTCCGCGAGGTGAGTCAATCTTTTCCAATATTTATTCATGACTCGTGATTAAAGATGACATAACGCGTTTTCTGCGTTTTCCTCGGCGAACGCAGCTATTTCGCGGCATGTTGCCACGTTTGTGCGATTTTGCATGAGAAACGGCCACGTAAATTGGAAATGCAAAACGACGCGAGTATACCAAAAACTGAGCAAGGGCAAAAAATGTTTCCTTGTCGCTCCAATCCCTTTACGTTTTCAAACTACACGCCAGTGTACCGAGTATCGGATATTTAATTTATCAATTGATACAACATCAAAGTAGCGGCGCCAACAGCTTGGAAGTAAATCCAGCCCCATCCTTTCGTCGGGGAGAGAGGCTCTCACGGAGCTTTTATTTTATTAACAATTCATCGGCGATCGCGAAGTTTTGCCTCTGTGAACGCAAACACTGCGATCGGTTTATGGACTTTAAAGCGTGTATTAACTTATTAACGAAGTGAAAGACAGAGAGATCGAAACTTTGAAGCGAGCTTGTTTATAATGTATTCAAACTCTTCCAGTTTAATTATGGGTGCGAGGGAACTTTCATGAGAGACGTTGTTCATCGTAACATTTCGCGGTCGGATACTTCGGACACCGTATAGATTTGCGCGCTGCCTAGGATACGCGAGTTATTGGTATTTAAGGATTCGTATCAGCGAGAAAAGATCGTTTTGTTTCTCTCCGTTCTGAGAATGGCAACAAAGCGGCGTAGCAAGATAGAACGACAATTAAGTTTAATTAGCGATCTCTCCCCGACATTGTGGCCTGGATTTTACATAACGAGCTCCATACTCGTCCGGGTTTTCCAACGAAGGGCTCGGCCTAGCTGGCTGGCTGGCTGGCTGGCTGACTAGTTGGCCCGTTCTGAAATATGCAACGTGGTCAAGTGGCTCGTTACGTTTTCGCGTTCACGAGAAACAAAACTGAATGTAGCCGACCGACCGAGCTTTTGTCTCGCTTCGAATCAGTGAGTGTTCAAGTTGGAGTGCCGTCACTTTCCTCTTCCGTCATATTTCTCTTTCTGTTTCTCTTCGAACGATTCGTTCCACGTTTTTTTTTTCCTGGTCCGACAAATTTATCACTAACGCATTTGAATAGTCAATGATAAACTCGGAAGGTGACGGCAGCGATCATTTTGCAAACTCCGTGTTAATTTGCTAATCGAATTGTTGCAATCCTTAATACCGCAATTATTCTCTTCGATATTTCAATTATATTAGCATCATGAAACTAATTGAAACGATAACCATATACGTAAAATAGCAATCATATGTGAAATAATATTAAACACAATAAGTAAAAACCTTTTATAAAGCGTTACTTCTCTCTACGGTTTTTAACTGGCTATATTTTTTCAGTGGCGCATGCCACGGTTAATTAATCAGCTCGTATTATCCACGAGAGTTTTTATTTACCCCGTATTTTTGCGTTATTGCCATCATTACCCGGCTGTGAGCGAATTTACCAAATTCCACATACAGCGCCTGCATGTATATTCGCGTAACACGCGCAATAATGTTGTTTAGCAATTTGCTGAAAACTTATTCGTAATTTCGTCAGCCTCATCCTCCCCGGTGAAGAGCAGCCGAGATAATTAGCCTATTAGAGTTTAGTTAACTGCTGCGTCAGATAATACATTTTAAACGTATTGCTTGAGAGGGAAGGGGAGTTGAAACAATCGAATTTCACGATGTTGTAAAAGGTAAAGGTGAAAGGTAAACTAGCGAGCTTTTTAATCAATCAGGAAAAATGTTTATTTTTTACATTATGTAGCGTGCAAACAGCGAGCTTTAAACTTTTTAAACGGTGTCGGAGCAAAAAGCTTTGCACAACAAATGAGATAAATTCCGACGGTTTTGTTTGGCGGACAATCAAAATTTATACCTGAATAATTTGACGCGATTCACGAGACGAGAAACACAAAAATTGCTCTCTGTACCTCGGTGCGACGTGGATAATAAAAGGAGCCGCCGCGAGTCAGACCAAAGGGACCCCTCTACCTTTACTTCCCCCTCGAACGGGGGACGGAAGACACGGCACCACCACTCGGCGACATCGCCGAGTCGTTTTATTTCGATTCCGCGGAGGTTAGTAAGGGCGATAACTTTATTGATTTTGAACGGGATTCCGGCGAGCTCTTCTTTTTTTTATCGTGTCATCGAGGATTCCGTCTCGGTGCCAGAAAACGCGCGCGACTCTCCGATCGCCGGCTTTGTCGTCGAGGAGATAAGGATTGAACGGGATAAGGATTGTTTATTATTCCGCGCGAGTACGACGCGCGCAGTTCTCCGGAATTCTATATTCTTTGCTCTTTCCGAATGACGAAAAGAGGAAGGTTCTTTCCCGTAACTTATACATAGATGTGAGCGAAATGGTGCCGATTGTCAAAACGCGTGCGCGCGCGCGCTTGAATAGGCCCGCAATTTTCTGCAATTGTCGCGCGAAAAGCTGACCGAGCGCGCTCTGTTTACCGCACGAATTATTACGCGGCCGATACAACAATGCGCATGACGCGACGTGTACGACGAATTATTACGCGCGGATAATGCCTGGGACGATGAGAATTGTGTGCGATCGAAATTTATCGACTGTTTTGAGGCACGTGCGTGCGGGCGCGCGGGACCGCGGTTGCGGGTTCATCACCTCTAATTAACCCCTCGAGTTTCCCAGCCGCTCGATAACAGAGCTAGTTAATTGCAGAGCAGTGACGCGATTTCGGTTGACAATGTCAGACAACTCGGCCAATATTTGCGCGGCGATGACGACGACGATAACGCTTAACTTCCTTGGTTTGACCGACGTCGCTGTGCATTTATATCGAAAAATTCGCTGAATATCCTCGCTTCGCGACACTTCTCTCCCGCATCATCGAAACGGAATTTGATACGAGGTCCATGCAAATAGATTGACTGATAAATTCGGATACTGCTTAATAACGGCGTCCGAAGGACGTGAAAAGAATACGAGATGCGGCGGAGAGAAAATATGCATGACACGAGGTATGGTGGTGACACGAGACGCGATGCGCTTGCATCTGTGAGTATAATACGACCACGATCGTACACTTTGAATCTTCAAAAGAGTCCGCGATATCGGCATGGCGTAGTCAGTGGATGAGCAAATCGTCGAATCGATTTCGCACAGTTTTCAATGATTTTTATTCAAGATCGTTGTAATCGCGAGAACGAAACTCACAAAATATTAGAAAGTGTCATTTTTCTCATAAATATTGCCGATAGGATCGCACATCGTCGCCGTGTAAAAAATGGAGGATCGGCGAAAAAACCAGCGATCTGTCAATTGAGTCAAAACTCATATCTCGGGGTGTCCGTTTAATTTTGCAAAGGTTTCGCGGCTACGCTACTCGATGATACGCCGAGCGAAATTCGTCATATTCGTGCCAACGCGAGCGTTCCGTCCAATCAATCGACAAAAATGCTGGTCGGTTCGAGAGGTACGCCTCGATGTCCCGCCGCGCCGGAGCCCAGGGATCGACAACCGCGGGTCTGGACGTTGCGCAACGCGAGATTAATATGTTTGCCATAGAACCGATGTTTCATGCGCGACGTGCTCTTCTTTCCCCTCGGGGGAGGAAGACGGCGTAGTTCGGAATACGCGGGCGTATTAACGTACACGAGGAAGCCATATGTCCACTTGCAGTAGCTAATCATTAGGCGCGCTCACAATGCAGCTCGTCGCGTGCTAACCACACGTGTGCGTGTCATCAGGGAAGCGCGTTCTATCACGCAGCGACGTATCCGCCGCTCGCGTATCTACAACCGCATGCACGATCTACATGCACGTACGATGTGGCAATTGCGTGGCCTCGCGTCGCCTCGCGTCGCAGCCGATCTTCGATCTTCGTCATTCCGGTCGCGTAACGTAACCGCCGACCGCCCATTAATTCCACAAGAACCACCATACTAATGTAAAGCTCGTCTATCGATTCGAAGAAAATCGGTCGCAACAGGTCGCGAATACGAACGTAGACCATCTCGTGTCTTTCGCGTGCCTCTTTACGGTGCAATATTTTCTTTAAAGACTCCTTTTTTTAAAGACTTCAACTTTTTATTGATAAATTTCATCACGGCAGTCGGATCGTAAAAAGAATGAAACTAGCTCAGGCGGCACTCTTCTCGGCGCATTCTTTCGCGACGTTAGTGCTTTTTCTTGTGACAATGCTTTCCTTCCAGTGCCTTCCACTCGTCGTTTCGTCGTCTCGTTGAGGTAGTCAAAGCTGCTTCGCAAGTTTCGTGCGTTTAACGGGCGAACGAGAGAAAGGGCGACGTACCGAGTTAACGGACAGGGGCAAGCAAAAAAAGCTCTCTTTCAGCGAAGCTCGAAATTAATTCCAGGAAGGTACACCAGATAATTATGCACACGCGATGCCTTTATTATCCACCGACGCCGTTTTGTCTACGGCGCGTGTTTGGGGTACGGGGCGAGGTGGAACCAGAGAGGAGAAGAGAGAACGAAATATGTGCGTTGCACCGCAGACTGTAAAATTACGTTTGGATTGCGTTTCTCGCGTATCCAATGTTTACGATCTTTTTTATCACATAACAGATTGTTTCTTACGTTAGTATTGAAAAAGGGTGCATCCACACATTAAATTAAAATTAATTAATTTTTATATATATAGATATTTTTAATGAAGGCTGCACGTACCCATTGATAGCTTTTATCATGAACAGTTTTTATCGCAATTAGATAAACGTCATTTATCACAGATGCGTAGGCAGATATATACGGCCGAAATAAATCGCGTGTATTTCTATATAAATTTGTGTGTGATCGGGAAACGAGCTCAAACAACCCGCGGTGTTTGATGGTCGCGGCAAGAATCGCCCGTTTAACTCCGCGAAATGTTTGACTCCCTCTTGATTAAACTGTACGATTAATTAAAGTATCAAAATATTTGCCGTGTACGCACGATTCGCGTCAACGCAAACTTTACCGGTGATTTTCGATACCGAGCGTCGTCG